GATCCCACAGGTATGGAGCATGCATACTTCCATTGATCTGATCTGGACCAATGTAACTATGCTATAAACCTATACTTGGAATTGAGCTGCAAGTTAAAGAAGATAATGTGGCCACTGGATGGCACTGTGGTACTGATTTTTGTATAGGGCGTATTTTAGCTTTTATTATGATAAATACTGTTTAATAAACACAAGACGTCTGTGCAATAAAATCAACGTTTGTGTTTATGGAATATTTAATTAAGAAAAAAGGAAATTTGAGCTTAACTGAAATTGGCACTTTGACTAGTGGCACCCACGGATGTACCCAGCTAGCGTAATGTTTGAAAAAATTAGTTATCCTAATAGATGTTAAGAAGGGATCAATAAAATACAGTCCATTGTATGGATATTTTAGAGCCTTTTAACTCTGGAGGAACCTTTGCTTAGGTCTCACAGATTAATAAAATCTACAGTTTTGGTACATTGGCAAGATCAGCAAGTTGTACAAAGTTTTAAATAGAAGAATAAAGAATTAGAAACCCGTGATGGATAACTTTTATACCTTCCTATGCTCTGTACGACAAACTTATTTTCAGCAATAATTCAAAACGTTCAATGCAAGCAGTAGGGTCGCAGTAGTGGTCAGTGGAAGAATGCCCCTTTAAATTGCCAGGCAGAAAAGAATTCCCCCCTTGCATTGGTCGTCAATGGAACGTTAACCCTTTACAGAGGAAGGCTCAGGTCAGACATTAATTGATTCTTCAAGCCCCCCATCCTTTATGTCCTAAAAAGAAAGTTAATTTTGGGATTCTCGTCTTTTTCTTTTTCATGTCACTCCAAGATGATGGCATGATCATGTGAGCTCAGCTTGGAATGCCATGCAGAAGTTGCAGAGCTTAATTACTTACTGATTGGGCCATATACTGTTCGCCAGAAGTACAGATTACTTCCTACTGTAGGTTACTGCATATGGAACGGGATCTCAGTGGTGCTGTAGGTAGATGGCCATTGTTGGTATATACATATCTGTGTGTATGTTAGTGTGCAATGCACTGTGCCATGATTTCCATTGTTCTGTGTAGCTTCATTAGCTGGCTCATTATTCATGCAATATAATGATGATCATTGCTATTATCACAAGGCTTATTATTACCATTATTAGCGCTATTACAGGTTATTACACGCTTTGTCATTTATATCATTCACCAAGTAATATCCGCTGATTATTATAATTCTGATACAGCCACGCAGAAAGCGTTGTGTCGCCCGCGCTTTGGGTAATTAGTGGCCTCGTTGTTTTCCGCCTTCACGATCCGACAGAAATAATTGCTCGTTAATTACTTCCATTTACATTCACTTTTACAAAGTCTTTAGAAAGGACAAATGAGGGGCAGATTTAACCCCTGTGAGGTGGGAAGATGAAAGAAGTTGCCATCTTTGAACTGCTTTGCATGGGTCTTGGCATGGAATGGGTTACAGCCACAGAGAACCATTTCTGTAAATCATGTGAGGGGTTTCAATTGTCCATTTTCTTTACCAAATCACGGTGTCCTCTGGTAACCGGTTCATTGCCAAACAACAGGCAACAGTTGGTACTGCTGGTATGTCTACTGACAATCCTCTGTGTTGATTGCAGAGGTTAAAAAAAAGAGGAGCATTCGCACAGAGTGATCATTTGTAGGTTTTGTTGCCTTATCACTGACCTTAGCAATAGAGTGTTATTTATGTCAAAATAACCATCAAGCTTTTTGAACATTTTCTTATCACCTAATGAAATAATCAGGTCTGAGTCTGACCAGGCCAGGGTTTTCTTTAGCATTTTAGCATATATATGAGTATTTCTTCAACTTAGATTAACCGCATCCTCATTATACTGGTAAGATGTCATCATCACCTTGAACATTCCTGTGGCCTATAGAGGTGACCTCACCCCAAGAAAACTAAACTTTACAGCCCTTACCTGAAAAAAAGAAATTCACATCCCATAATATACATAGCACACTGTAAGAGTGTGTGTATGTTTTTAGGGAACAAGCATAGACTGGTTGTCATGAAAGAGCTCCAGCCTTCGTTGTTGGAAAGCAGTCTGAATTGTCATAAAGAGTGGTGGTGGTCAGCTCTCTCTATAGTCTTCTGAAAGGCTGTACAAAATATTATTTCGCATTTCACTGAGCCATCATTGGCAGAGAATAATGTAATTGTTTAAAGTTCACCAAACTTTTTTTTATAGTGATGTTTTAAAAGGTAGCTCTACATGTGATTCCCCATACAGCACCATCATTAGTAGGTATGCCCTGTGTAGTGCCTTAAAATATGTTGGAGGCTTTGATTTCATTTTCTGCTACACTGTATACAATCTTTAAGATAAAAGAACATATAAAATACAAAAACAAATGAACCCAAAGTCAGGAATTCCAACAGTAAAACACTGGGGAGCCACCAAAATCATAGAAATGGATAGTACTAGATTGATGCTGACCCGCCTTTTTGCCCTCTTCCTCTGTCGCCCTCTCTTCATTATAAACCCCCCCCTTTTTTTTTTACTGCTCATTTTCAGTCTTAGATACTAGATTACATTCTACTTCACAGTCCCTGTAAATGTAATGATTTATGCGGTTCATTTATATTCATTAATGTGCTGAGGTCCCACCCACCTATACCTCATAGTATGTTTTGTTTAGATTCCTTAGCCATTGCCTCAACATTTATAAAAATGGACTAAACTGAAATATTAATAATTAAGTATGTAATAATTAAATACTAATATCATTAATACCAATGGCCCATACACACGATAAGAAAATCATACGAAAGTTTCCACATGAGGAACGATTGGCCGATTATCTTATCATTAGTATACTGCTTTCTAAAGCCAATTCCGACTTTTCAGATGAAACAAGCTAGAACACAATGTCTGATTTTCGTTTAATATGTACAATAATCATATGGAAATGTGTATCAGATGTGATAATCAATGCTATTCACTTAAAGTGATCTTAAACCTTCCTTTTGTTTTTTTTTTTAAACCAGAATAACAAAAACATGTCTATATTTTCTTGCTCTGTGCAATGTTTTTGTTCAGCGTAGCCTCGAACTTCCTCTTCTGGGGTCCCCCACTGGTAATCCAGGGTCCTCCTCTTCGGCAAGTGCCCCCATGAAAAGCCGTTCTCCATGGGGGCACACGTGCGGGCTCACTCCCGAGCCGCCCCGTCTGCATCCATTGACGCAGAGCAGGCAGCTCGGCCCTGCCCCCCACTCCCATGTCACAGGATTTGATTGACAGCAGTGGGAGCCAATGGCTCCCGCTGCTATCAATCTGCCCAATGAGGAGGGAGACAGCGGCTAGAGCCGCTGCTCTCACGCACATTGCTGGATCAGATCAGGCTCAGGTGAGTAAAATGTGGGCAGCTGGGGGGGAGCTCCAGCACAGAAGGTTCTTCACCTAATGCATAGAACACATTAGGCTGTCTAAGGCTTTAGAACGACTTTAATCTTTCAGTGGTCATAAAGTTATGGCTGATAGGTGCATGTTTGACCTGCAACGTCATTCTTAGGGTGGTGCAGTTTTTGGCTAGCACTATGTAATGTTAGTGTGCCACTATTCTAGGACTGTAGTGTCGACAGGCTCCCTATCAAATATTTTGTACATCTTATCAGATAATAACATAATAACTGTGTAAACCTTCTGCACAAGGGCACCAAAGTACATTCAGGCCCAGGCAGGTTGCTACCAGAGTCTCAGGTGGTCACAGTCCCATTCTTATGGGGCTCTGGAGAAAACCATATTGAATGGGGGTGTATTAGCAGGAAGCACTGTTGGGTGTAACACGCATATCCATCAAGCTACCAAACTTGTTTGCACCATGAACAAGACCACACTGATAAGTAAATGTAGTTGTTTTGCCCAAAGTCACATGCAGGCAGTAGGCTCAAATACACCAAACTGTAGTGAATGTGACTTGCCATAAAGCTATTATGGAAAATAAATGATACATTAAACTTAGTAGATTGAGCCTTATGATCTTATACAATAACGTAGACATTAATGTCAGTGGACCCTTTGGGGTTGATTTACTGAAGGCAAATAGACTGTGCACTTTGAAAAGGACAGTTGTACTCTGAAAATGCCGTTGCTCCAGAGCTTAGTAAATGAGGTAAAGCTTCACTTTGCAAAGAATACCCAATCACGTGCAATGAAAATAAAAAAATGCATTTTTGCTTGCACAGGATTGGATGATGGAAGTCAGCATAGCTTCTGCTCATTTACTTAGCTCTGGAGCATGTTTCCATAGTTCACAACCAATCATAGGATCCATTTGGTACTCTGTCAGAAATAGGATCTGTATATGGTGTCACTGCAAAGCCATCATCATACAATGACCACATCCTCAACTGCAACTACAATCACTGGAGACCACACCGCCTGTATAGATTTATGCAGTCAGAACTGTGGTGAGTTACCCTAGGTTCACATCTGTGCGGGTGGTGCCGCTGCGGATCCGCACAAAAATCCGTGCAGCTGCACCACCCGCACAGAGAAATGTGGACCCGCGGGTGGTAGTTCTAATAGCACGCCGCCCGCACTGGAAAATGCAACCGTACTGGGAACCGAGGTTCCCGTGCGGGCTGCGTTTTCCAAAGAAGTGCAGGGACTTCTTCCCTGTGTGTCACGGGCACAGGAGTCCATTCAAATGAATGGGCTCTCGTGCCCGTGCAAAACGCGGCCTGCATGTCCGCGTAGATGTGAACCGGGGGTTAGGATTCATACTTAGTAAATACACTGCTTCAGTGTTTAGAGATCTTTGGTCCACCTTAATGACTAATCACAGGCAGGTTAAGCTTCCTGTATCACAGTAAAATGAACATGCTACACGTTGATACATAAGACAGGGTGAACCTTTTTTGACAAATTTGGGCAATGTTTGTTTATAACCTCTTATATCAGTTTTTTGTTTGCTTGTATTGCCTCTAAAGTCAACATTTACATTTTTTTACATTAACTTTCATGACTGTTTCAGAATCAGTGACTACATGGACCTCAATGCTGTGGATCTAATGGGTAAAAGATGCTATCACTTTATCCATGCTGAAGATGTGGAAGGAATCAGGCACAGCCACCTGGACTGTGAGTATGTTGTAAAGATATCTAGAGGTTTGCTAATGCAAACCATATTTCCATGGCACACCTATGTTTTATTTTATTTATTACAGGTACTTATATAGCGCTGTCAATTTACACAGAGCTTTACATATATATTGTACGCTCACATAGTTACATAGTTAATCTGGTTGAAAAAAGGCAAAAGTCCATCCAGTTCAACCATTAAAAAAAAAAAAGTTATAATCCTACACCCACAGTTGATCCAGAGAGAGGCAAAAAAAACAGCAAAGCATGATCCAATTTGCTCCTGCAGGAGAAAAAAATTCCTTCCTGATCTCCCACGAGGTAATAGGATATTCCCTGGATCAACTTTACCTATAAATGTTAGTATCCAGTTATATTCTGTGTATCTAAGAAAGAATCCAGGCCTTTTTTAAAGCAATCCACTGAGCTGGCCAGAACCAACTCTTGAAGTCTATTCCACATTTTCACAGCTCTCACTGTAAAGAAACCTTTCCATGTTTGGAGATTACATTTCTTTTCCTCCAGACGTAGAGTGTGCCCCCTTGTCTGCTGTGATGACTTCAGGGTGAATAACTCTACACCGAGTTCACTATATGAACCACTGATGTATTTATACATGTTGATCATATCCCCCCTTAATCTCCTCTTCTCAAGAGAATAAATTCAGTTCCTCTAATCCTTCCTCATAGCTGATCTCCTCCATGCTTCGTATCAGTTTGGTTGCCCTTCTCTGCACTTTCTCCAGTTCCCCAATGTTCTTTTTGTGAATTGGTGCCCAAACTGAACTGCATATTCCAGATGAGGTGTTACTAATGATTTATACAGGAGGAAATTCTCTCTCTCTCTCTGGAGTCTATATCTCTTTTAATACAAGAGAGGATTTTGCTCGCTTCAGAAACCGCACTTTGACATTGCATGCCATTATTAAGTTTGTGATCTACCAGAACTCCCATATCCTTCTCCACCATTGATTCCCCCAGTTGTAACCCCCTTAGTATGTATGATGCATGCATCAGTCCCTAATCCTCAAGGGGCATACAATCTAAAGTCCCTCACTCACATTCATGCATACACATACTAGGGCCAGTTTAGACAGGAGCTAATTAACCTACCAGCATGTCTTCGGAGTGTGGGAGGAAACTGGAGTACCCAGAAGAAACCCACACAGACACGGGAGAACATACACACTGGTGCCATGGTGGTTAAAATTCAGAACCTACAAATACTGCAGCTGCTGACTTAAAATAAGGACACTTACCTGTCCACGGATCCAGCAATGTCCTCACCCAAGCCAATTCTTTAATCAACTTCGGGTGCAGGTGCAGCATCATCAGTAAGGGAAACCAAAAGTGAAGCCTTGGGTCTTCACAGCCGGTTTCCTACTGCACATGTGCAAAGCGCGCTGTGCTTTGTGAATGGTCCCACAGTCTTCTGCTGGGACCTGTGAAGTTGTTCCAGAAGGCTGTGGGGGAAGGAGGGGAGGCAAACTTCTGGCTCAGATTGCCGTGGCACATGTGACTGGAAGAGGGGGTGGGTACCTGTCAAAACAAGTGCTAAATGTTGCAGCGGGGGGGGGCAAACAAGCAGAACTTCCCCTTTTGTGTGAAGTTCCGCTTTAAGAAGTGAAAAATGAATGTACCCGCACACTTATTAACTATAAATCAGAAATCAAGAGGGTTGACTGTATGATGACCAGAAGTTGTTGGCCAGTGACCACTGTCTCATAGTGTAGTAAATATGAATGGCATATTCATTTCCCAATATCATCTCTCCCTGAATACTTACAGACCAAACATAAAATATTACATGGTGTACCAACGAGGCAGTCAACTATCTTCAACATTTTTCAGTTCTTTGGTCATGCTCTGTGTAGCCTTTTTTACAGATCCAGGCAAGTGTATAGCCATAATTTATAACTGCCCCCGGCATGCAGCGATAGTCCCAGTTTTGTTCTTTATTTGTCGTTCTAGAAATGACTCTAGTTTTAAAAATTGAAACACTGTACCTCTAATTTTTATATATGTTTGGTTGTTGTTGTTTTTTTTAACATTCTTAATGCAAAGCCTCTGACTTCAGCATTGTCTGAGGCACAGATCTCGGAGGTCAGTCTGTATCTGCACTTGTTCTTGGCTAGTGACATAATAGCGGAGATTTTCTAAAACATAGAATCTGGTGCAGCTGTGCATAGTAACCAATCAGCTTCTAACTTCACCTTGTTCAATTAAGCTTTGACAATAAAACCTGGAAGCTGATTGGTTACTATGCAGAGCTACACCAGATTCTGTGTGCACTAGTTTTTAGTAAATCTCCAAAATATTACAGATAATGTCAGCATGACAGACAGGAAACTAGCATTTGCAGTGCAGCTTCCATGTTTTCCCCAGCATAGATTTCCCTTAAAGTGATATTAAAGGCAAATTTAAAAAAAAATGGGAGGGAGAGTCCAAGGAGAGCCAAGGCTCTCATGCACATCTCTGGAAGGTGAAAGGCTAAGGTTAATATTAGGGGGGCTGCTGCACCCTGAAGGTTTTTTTTACCTTCATGCATAGAATACATGGAGGTAAAAAACCTTGAGCCTTTACAACCACTTTCAATTATTATGTAGAAAAGATAAATATTTAAAGTGCAAATTGTAATAATTTCTAGTTTTCTGCTTAAATGGTTCCTAAAATGTGTTCTGACTATTTTAATCAGAATAATAAATAAAGTCAGTTGTGTAAAAAAAATAAAGAGTTGTGATTAAAAAACAAAGGTAACAATGACCACTAAATCTGTACTGCACTTTTTTGATCAGTACCAATGACCATTCAACAATAATGTAGCAAGCAACGGTGCTGTATGTTTTAAGTATTAAAGTGAGAAAAGGTATTTATTACTCTTTATTATTTTTTTGTATTAGTATTTAGATAAAAATGAAATCACATTTTATAAATATCTCTATAAAACAATACTTAATAAATTCATTTTTTTTTCATGAAGCAGTTCATCAGTGATAATGTGAAAAGTACAGTATCTTGTAGTAACCAATCCGAATCTTTCATCAGCAGAATGAAGATTGCTGTTTGGGTTGCTATGGGTCACTGCACTTTGCTCTTCGCAGATCCCTTGTTCACATGGCTTATATGACTTCATGGTAGTTAAAGTCTGTGTTTGCTTCATCCAAGTGTTCTCTGTGTCCCTGTGTTTCTATCTCCACCTCAGGGACACATTCTCTCTGCCATCTGATAAATGGAATATGGATGTTCGAGCCATTTTTATGGCTGTTTCATTCAATGTTAAAGTCCTAACTGAGCCCTAAATTACAAAAGCAGAAGCTGCCAGGAGCAGGCGGGTGTCATTTGGCTCACAGAAAGGTCACCCTGTCTGCCTCCGGAGTGTCTACAGCTGCTAATATCTCCTGTACATATGAAGGACATTGTGGGACTGCTAGACATCACTTAAAGAGGCACAACCAGCAGGATAGCAGGGAAGCCTGTGCTCCTGAAAATTACTGGGTAACACCACTGTTTAGTCCAACCAGGGAGCAACATTACTATCATACATCAGCATTGTAAACTAAAATGATAATGACTTCACTAACCCTTGAATAGTTTTTGAATATTTCAGTAAAATATATTTAGCTAAAGGAGCTGTTATTGGACTTCATTTTACAGTAGCAAGTACAGAGACCAATCTTCAGTTATCTGCAGTTACCTTTCCTAAAATGTTCACTCTTCAACTTTTTAATCAGCATACCAGTTTTAGGAAAATCAATGTATTCTGTAAATACAAATTTTTAAAAATGAAGTAAAGAGCGATATCAACAAAAACTCAAGTTTAAAACAGAGCGGAACTTCATATTATTGAGGACAGACTACTCCTAACACACTTGTTTGTGAGATCACTGATGTCCATTTACCTAAAGTGGCCAATTCACATCTCGGCTTTCATTGGTTTAGAATAGTAGAATACTGAAAATGTTTGATTCGTTTTCAGAAAAGTGTTTGACTTGACATCCACCAGTTTGACAGCCCCCTTACCAGGGAATATATTACAACTATACCTGAAAATGGTGCCTTTGCTCTCAGCACCACCAAGTCTTAGCTGGCAGACCCACCAGTCCTTTATCCCCAACATTAACCCTCCATATCACGCTAACATTAAGTCTGTGCAGTTGACGTTTGTTTTTGCCACCCTTCAACCGCTTCCCCTTAAGTGGCAAGAGGCAGTGGACAGGGATGTTTACATGCCGTGGAAGTGATACTTCGCTTTGCGCCCACAACAAAGTCTACTCAACAAGTAGCGACACTTTCCGGTAAACAGGGAGGCGACGCAAACGCCCTGCAACCACTTGCACTGCATGAAGTTGTGGCACACTCTGCAGAGCTCAGTGAGGAGAGCTCTGAGAGCTGATTGGAGGGAAGGGACATACCCCCCTCCACATAGCACACAGAAACAGAGCTGAGGCTGTCAGTCTGCTGGAGGTCCTTCCCATCACTCTTTTTCTCTTGGTGTCAAGAAAACGTTTCAGAAGTGACAGATAGTAGAGGAACAAGACAGCAGACAGAAATGACACTTAGTGCTCGGGATTGAGACAAGTACACACATAAAAGAATATGCTTTGTTCATATTTCATATCTGAGGTTTACAACCACTTCAATAATTAGGGGGCCAGGCAAGATCTTCTTTGTCAAGCAGACAGGAAATTGCATTCTTGCTATGGTAATCCTCGTGCATTGCAGTGTGCTTAGCAGTTTCTCAGTTTCCTTGCAGAGGCCCCCATTGACTCTTGTATTAAAAGTCCTGTTCTCTAGAAATTACTGATGACAGAAGAATTATTAAAGAAAATTGTATGATCAGAAATGATCTAGGAAGCGCTGATTGAGGGGAGCATAAACTTTTTATTTCTGATTCAGACATGCTCAGTTGTGAAAGGTTTGTGGCTTTTCTGATAAAATCGTAGATGCAGATATTATCAGAAGGTTGGCATAAGCATTTCAATATTTCTTGATCTCAGCCTC